CCCTAGGGAGCCTCCTTTGGAATCTCCGGATGATGCAAATTTAGCACGGATTGAAATCACCTGAGAGCCGCATCCTTGGACCCCCCCCCCCACTCACGAAGGGTCTGATTCAGCAGGCTTGGAGTAAGCTCCTGCAACCTGTTTCTGAAGCAAGGGGTTAGGGGACCCTGATGCTTTGACAAGCATGCTCTTAATAAAGGCCCCACCTGTCCGCTCTGGAAGGCACAGCCACCCTTTGCCACATGGCTCTGCACGTACTTGTCTCTTCTGGGCATCCCCATGACCCTGTTTACGCTTCTATAAAATGTGGTTAATATCCTCTCAGACAATGGATTGTTATCTCACAAGGCAGACGACCTAGGCCCTGAATCTGCTCTTCGTGTTAGAGTCTCTTGGCTTATCCAAAGGAGGTCCTGGATAGTACCAGAAAGGAGAACAAGAGCACCCTTAAAAACTATTAGCTGGGCACCGTGGCTCACACCTGTAATCCCAGCATTTTGGGAGGCAGCGTCAAGAGGATTGCCTGAGCCCCAGGGTTTTGAGACCAGCCTGGGCAACCTGGCAAGACCTCATCTCTACAATAAATCAAAAATTAGCCGGGCATGGTAGCACGCACCTGTAGTTCCAGCTACTTGGAAGGCTGAGGCAGAAGAATCGAAGGAGCCCAGCAGGTCGAGGTTGCGGTGGCCAGGAACGGCCACTGCACTCCAGTCTGGCGACAGTGAGACTCCGACTCAAAAAAAATAAAAAATAAAAAATAAAGAGCACAATTCAGTGGGTTTTTGTGTATTCAGACGTGTGTAAACATCACAACAGCCTATAACACCTGACCTCAAGTGATCCACCTGTCTCAGCTTCCTGAGTAGCTGAAACTGCAGGCATACACCAACTGCCTGGTTAAGTTTTTATTTCTGTAGAGACAGGCTCTCACTATGTTCCCCAGACTGACCTTGAAGACCACATTGTTTTTTTTCTTTTGTTGAGTTGGAGTCTCACTCTGTCACCCAGACTGGAGTGAAGTGGCCACTCCCGGCCACCGGAGCCTCGACCTGCTGGACTCGTGATCCTTCCGCCTCAGCCTTCCAAGTAGCTGGAACTACAGGGGCACGCTACCACGCCCGGCTAATTTTTTGATATATTGTGGAGATGAGGTCTCGCCAAGTTGCCCAGGCGGGTCTCGAACCCGCGGGCTCAGGCAATCCACTCACCTCAGCCTCCCAAAGCACGGGATTACAGGCTGAGTCACCGAGCCCGGCTGACCACACGTTGGTTTATCCAGTCATCCACTGATGGGCAATTTGGGTGTCTGCTTATTATGAATAGTGCTGCTGTGAACATTCATGATCAAGTTCTTACATGGACATATTTTTCAGTGCCCTTAGGTATATACTTAGAATTGGAACTGCTGGACCTTGAGGCAACTAACTCTAAAACCTTTAGAGGAATGGCCAGTTTTCCAAGGCAGCTGTCCCCTTTTGCTTTCTCACCAGCAGTGTACGAGGCTTCCAATTTCTTCACATCCTGGACAGCTCTTATCATCCATTTTTTTGACTACAGTCATCCTTGTAGGTACGAATTGGTAATTTTACATTTTAATGAAATAAATTTGACTATTTTTCATGAGCACTCTTAATTTTCTCAGCCTAATTTTTAAAAACTTCATGACCAGAAGGAAATTAACCAAGAAAATAACCCCTCTGGGAAATGTTCCAACAAAACAATGAAGATGGAGAAATGCCTCTGAAACACTTGACAGATCAGCACTGGGGAGAGCAGATGGCTGTGGTGTGGGGAGGACACTGGCATGTCACGGAACACTGGTATCACCGTGTTGTTGTATACAGGACACTGCCATTCATATGGGGACACTGATGTCACTGTTGCTGTTGTGAACAGGACACTGCTGTGTCATGTGGGGACACTAGTGTCACCATGTTGCTGTGTACAAGACACTGCCATGTCACATGGGAACACTGTTGACACCAAGTTGTTGTGTACAGGACACTGCTGTCACGTGGGGGACACTGGTATCACTATGTTGCTGTGTGCAGGACACTGCCATGTCATGTGGGGACACTGGTATCACCAGGTTGTTGTGTACACTCGTGTCACTATGTTGTGTACAGGACACTACTGTATTGTGTGGGGACACTGGTGTTTCCATGTTGTGTACAGGACACTGCCATATTGTATGGGGACACTGGTATCGCTGTGTTGTTGTATACAGGACACTGCAGTGTCATGTGGGGGACACTGGTGTCACCATGTTCTTGTGGTGTACAGGACTGCCAAATCATGTGGGCGACACTGATTTTGCTGCGTTGCTGTGTACAAAGACACTGCCGTGTCATGTAGGGACACTGACAGGGCTGCAGTCAAGTGCATGGGGCCTAATTCTTCCCTCTTATATTCTTCTGCCCTTTCGTTCACACAGGACTTTCCGGATTATAAAAGAAAATTCTTTCCAAGTGATCCCACATGTGGCAATCCTAATCGAGCTCTCTATTCAGCTGTCAGCCAATTAATCAATATGGGTTTTGTTACACTTTTTCCCTTGAGACAAAACCTACTGGCCAGCATTAAGCTATCACACAGGACATGGCTGCTGTTTCCCAACTGCGGAGTTACAATAACCTCCTATTTCTGTACCTCAGTGGCCCCTCAAAGGGCAGTGTCCAGATGCTTCAGTGAGAGAGCCATGTCCACAGAATCACAGTTCCAATTCCCTAAAAGGACACTGCCCAGGCTCCATGCTGAGGCAGAAGCATTTAAAGACTCAGTGCGAGGAGGGCCCCTACTATTTTTAAGCTTGCAAGATTACAGAGGAATGCCTCAATTCACCCTAAACTGCTCAGTGTCTGTCCCCTCAAGACCAAGTCAACAGCAGGAGGTTTACCTCCCATAAACTGGTAACCAAATGCCAATAGGGGTGGGAGTCCCTGGGAACCTCAGGCATGCTCAAGGCACCAGCAAAGAGAAAACCAAGAAGGAACAAGAACGGCAAGGGGGTGGGGAAGGAGGGTGGTCATTAGAGAATGAGGAAGAAAACAGAGCTACTGGTCAAAGTATACCACAAGCGGCCTGTCCCTGTGGGGAAGATGGGTCTGGAGCCTCAGAATGACTACACAAGAGCGCCCAGCGAGGTAGTGTGTGACCTGCACATGGTGTTTCACCCTGAGGGCCACAGACTGCCCAGGTGGGACCACAGGTTTCTTACAAGGAATTTCATATACATCCCAAGCACTGTCTCCCACAGACAGTCCTATACTGCTGTTCTGCAAGCATGTGGAGATCTGCTGGGACTGGTGAAATACAACTCACTTGCCAAGGCTTCCGAATAGCTGTTTCTAGTCATTGTGTATTTTTTCTAGTCACTGGACAATTGAAGCCCAACCATTACCATGTAGGGTCTGCAAAGTTGTTAATGTTCAAGGGAGTTTCTATTTTGAAGGTGTATGGGAATTAATATATTTAGGTTCAGAGTAATAGGAGACAGGAAAAAGAAAGTCTGGTAAAGCACAGGGATCAGTGAACTCTGGCCCACCACCTGAAATAAAATAAAGTTTTACCGGAACCTAGCCACACAATTTGTTTATATGCTGTCTATGGTTGCTTTGTAGTACAGCTGGAACAAAGACCACATGGTCCAAAAGGCTTAAGATACTTACTATTTGGCTCTCTATAGAAAGAGTTTGCCCACCCTCCCACAGCACATCATGAAATACACTGCAAATATTATGAAATAAAATCAACACTAACTACATCTGCCAACAGGGAAAGGTGTCCAAGATACAATGACAATGTTTTATTGAAACTCTGCCGGAGGCGAGCAGACCCCATTCACTCAGTTCCATTGAGTCCCACAGAGAAAGGAATGTGAGTTCTGGGGAAGAATGAACCCCGGGAGGGAAAAAGGACTCTAGGCAACAGCAACATCTAGCTGGGACATCCCCTGTACAGGCCAGAGCAGGACCAGCAGCCCAGGTCACCCCACCCTCTGCAAGTCCTGCTGTCTGTCTCGGGCTCCACCTCCTCCATCACTTATCCAAGGGGGTCCCCTAAGGCCACAGACTGCTGAGAACTGTGGGAAAAGTACCCCCTCTGAACACCGAGGTCTGAGAAGGATTTTTTAAAAAACAAAGAATAAGGACAGAGGCCATGTGTCCATGGCTTGAGGTCAGTTGACCGACACTGAGCCCTAAGTCAAGCAGACATGCCCACCAAGGCACAGCTGTTCAGGATGGGCCCAGGTCCCCAAGAGGAAAGTCCTGCCAGGAAACAAAGCTGAAAAGACTTCCTGACTGAGCCAGTCCTTCTTCCCAAGTTAATAATTAGACACACCATGCCCCGGGCGTATGAGAGTCCAGGATCACATTTAGGAGAAATTCCCTCTCCATGGAGACCCTGAGTGTCCCCTGGGAGGCTCCTTAGCACCCATCTCAGTGCGTCCACACAGAGGAGGACTGGCAGCTAAGGGCCACCCTGGCGGGGCCCAGGACCACCTCGTACTCCCCACACCCAAAGCCACCCACCGCCAACTCATGCCAACTCATTCCTTAACCGGATGGTATGAGAGCATCTTAAAAGCACAACTGCTGGCCCTCTGATAGTTGCCGAGTCAGATAAGAAGCAGGCCCTGTGGGGACAGACCACACACATAGCTGGCTGGCTCCTGGCTGCCCCAGTCTACCCTCTCCTCGCAGCTCAGAACTGTATTAGAGTCTGAGAAGCACCACCATTCAGAGAGCAGATCCATCTCCACTCACAGCCCCCAGTCTCAGAGCCTGTGCTGCCCCTCCAGGCAGCCCTCGCTGTCCCCAGGAGGCCACCACTCCAGCCCAAGGAGACGCTCTCAGAATTAAGTTCAGTATCTGTAGGAAAAGCAAAAGGAGAAGGATTATGTATGTAATCGTTCAACAGAAGGCTTTCCTTGACTATGAATCTAAAATACATGTAATTCATCATACCTCAGTTTTAAAATGTGTAGGTCACACCCGCACAGGAGGTGATCAATGCACTGGGCTGAGGTCAGGGAAGAGCTGCCTGCAAACTGCACAGGATCCCAGCAGATGCCTGGAGAATCTTGAGCTCTTCTGTCCACAGGGTATCCACCAAAGTCAGTTGGTTTATCAAAGACACTTTTTCATCCTTCATATGAGAAACCTGGAAGTGTTTTTGTAATTATTTGTTACTGTGTTAAAGTAAAATATATATATCATAAAATTTGCCCTTTTAACTATATTTTTCTTTTGAGTTGTCTCACTCTGTTGCCCAGGCTGGAGTGCAGTGGCACAACCATGGCTACCGCAGCCTTGACCTGCCTCAGCCTCCCAAGTAACTAGGACTACACAGGCATGCACTACCACGTCTGGCTAATTTTTTTATTTTTTTGTAGAGATGAGGTCTCGCCATGTTGCACAGGCTGGTCTCAAACTTCTGGGCTCAAGCAATCCTCTAGCCTCAGCCTCCCAAAGTGCTGGGATTACAGGCATGAGTCACCATGCCCGGTCCATTTTAACCTATTTTTAAGTATGTGGTTCAGCGCTATTAAGTATTTGCATTGGTGCATAAACATCACTATTATCCAGCTCCAGAATTTTTCTTATCAACCCAAACAAACTCTGTAATCTTTCATAAATGACCCTAGTCCCTCTCCTCAGAGCCCCTGGTAACCTTTTTTCCATTTTCTGTCTCTATCAATATTCCTATTCTAGGTACCTATTAATGGAATCATACAATAAGCCCATTTCATTTAGTATAATGCCTTCAAGGTTCATTAAAATTACTTTTATAATCCAAGTAATGTCTTCACACAAATGAGCTGATTTCTCATTTAATGAAAGCATTGGATAAAAACACCATTGAGAAAAAATACTTGAAAATCTGTTACTAAGAAATCATGCAAGGCCAGGAGCAGTGGCTCAAGCCTGTAATCCCAGCACTCTGGGAGGCCAAGGTGAGAGGATTGCCTGAGCTCAGGGGTTCGAGACCAGCCTGGGAAACTTGGCAATACTTGGTCTCTACAATAAATAAATAAATAATTAGGTGGGTGTGGTAGCACACGCCTGTAGTTCCAGCTGCTTGGAAGGCTGAGGCAGAAGGATCGCCTGAGCCAAACAGGTCAAGGCTGTGGTGGCTGCAAGTGTGCCACTGCACTCCAGCCTGGGCGACAGAGTGAGACTTCAACTCAAAAAAAAAAAAAAAAAGAACTCATGCAGTAATTTTTTTTTTTGTAGGGTTTTCTTTTTATTGAAAGGAAAGACTTGTAAAAAACTATTATGGGAAGACATTTCACCTTTGAGATCTCTGTGAACTCAACATTGAAGGAGAAAGCACTTGATTAAACCATGTAAAAGGTATATTTCCCACATTAGCCTAATCAGAAGGATGACATGCAGTAATTTTTAACCATGAAAACGTGTAGGCAAAGATATGAGATCTTTATGTCATCAAAAGATGAATGGGTAAGAAAAATGTGGCATAGATACACAATAGGATATCATTCAGCCTCAAAAAAGAATGACGCCCTGTCATTTGTGGCTACATAGATGAATCTTAAGCACATTATGTTAAGTGAAATAAGCTAGGCACAGACAAATACTGCATTATCTCAATTACATTTGAAGTATAAAAAGTTGGATCTCACAGGAATAGAGAGTAAAATAGTGGTTACCAGCAGCTGGGGTGGGGGATGGAATTGGGGAGATAATAGTCAAAAGACAAAATTTCAGGAGGAATAGTTCAAGAGATCTACTGTACATCATGATGACTACAGTAAACAATATATCGTATACTTGAACATTGCTGAGAGTCAACTGCAAGTATTCTCACCATAAAAAATAAGCAGGTAATATATATGCTAAATAGCTTGATTTAACCATTCCACAACATATTTATATATATATATAAATATAAACTTCATGTGGTATAACATAAATATATACAATTCTTACTGATCAATTAAAAATAAAGAGAGGCAGCCAGGCTCGGTGGCTCAGCCTGTAATCCCGCGCCTTTGGGAGGCTGAGGTGAGTGGATTGCCTGAGCTCCCGGGTTCGATACCCGCCTGGGCAGCGAGACCTCATCTCCACAATAAATCAAAAAATCAGCCGGGTGTGGTAGCACATGCCTGTAATTCTGGCTACTTGGAAGGCTGAGGCGGAAGCATCGCCGGAGCCCAGCAGGTCGAGGCTGTGGTGGCCGGGAGCAGCCCCTGCACTCCAGTCTGGGCGACAGAGTGAGACTCCAACTCAAAAAAAAGTAAAAAATAAAAAAAATTAAGAGAGGCTTGGAGCAGTAGCTCATTCCCGTAATCCCAGCATTTTGGGATGCCAAGGCAGGAGGATTGCTTGGAGGTTGAGACCAGTATAGGCAACACTGTGAGACCTAGTCTCTGCAGAACAAATTTAAAAATTAGCCAAGTGTGATGGCACACACTTGTAGTACTTGGGAGGCTGAGGCGTAAGGATCGCCTGAGCCCAGGAGGTCAAGGCTACGGTGAGCTGTGATCATGACACTGCACTCAGGCCTAGGCAATAGAGGGAGGGAGAGAAGAAAGAATGAAAGAAGGAGGGAGAGAAGGAGGGAGGGAAGGAGGGAGGGAAGGAGGGAGGGAGGAGGGAATTGAAAAAAAGGTACAATTACAATGTTAACACTCAAAAATAGAGATCACATCGACATTTAGTTATTTAAGGTACTAAACAGCACTCTTATAAAATGCACTGTCCCTAATAACATGTACAAAACAAGTAGCTTAAAATACTTCTTTAAGAAAAGGACATCACATTCTAGAAACATACCTTTTGGAGCATAGCATTAGTTTCCTCTGTGAAATAATAGCATATTTTCTGGGCTATGTCCAAACTTGTCTTCTCATTTGAATCTGAAATTACTTCCCCAAGAAGTACTTTTTTCCAGCATTTACTAAAACCAAAATGTTCATAATTACAGCAGGCTCTTGAAAAAGACTTTTACACTTCAGCACAACACACAAACCCTTCTCCCATTTTCCAGAAGCATAACAGAACTCGCCACATAAGCAGACTCCCTAAATTCCCCACCACCTGCAGTTTCCATGTGAGAGCAGACAAGGTTCATCGGGAAGGAGGAGTAGTAACAAAGAATAAAAAGCAAGGGGACTGGATGCTCTTTGCAGGTGGGGACTGAATTTTATCATCATCACAGCCCCGTGTCTGGCACATGAGTAAGTGGAGTCACAACCAGAACAGAGGGCGAGTCCACAGTCAAGGCAGAGGATGAAGGAGCAAGGATGGGAGTGTTTTCCTTCCCCTCAAGTGAGAGTCGTCCCAGAAAGTGGCAAACCGGAACACATTCTACAAAGTAAAAGCCCTGCACATGGGAGGAGGACTCTCCAGCCTAGCCCTCTCCCACACACAGGTCATTCCTGTGTTATACCACAAAGGTCTGCAGGAAGTGGGATCAGTGGGCAGAAGGGCCGGCTTTCTGCAGGCAGAAGAGTGTAGGTGCTGGGGCAGGCACAGGGGAGCCACAGCAGGATGTTGAGCAGAAGGTGGCAGAGTCACATCTATTCACTATCCACTAGGAAGAAGAAGAAGCGCTACCCAGGAGAGAGGACCGATGGATGGACCCTGGATAGAGAGAATCCGGAAGTAGAAGCGGCTTGGATGGGAGGTAAGACAGCTGCTGTTGAGTACTGCAGGAGCCAGACAGAATCCAGAGCAGCAGACAAGACACACAGAGAAGAGTCTTAGAAGGCTCCAGCTTGAGATGACAGATGAAACCAAAGGAATCAATGAGTTCTCAAGGAATAAAGAGGAAAATTACTATGTGTCAAGCATGGTGTTTCACGCTATCTAATTTAATCTCACAACTTTAGTAAAGAAAGCATCATTATCCCCATGACAGACTCAAAAAACTGAGAATAAGGAAATTTGGAGAATTCACCCTAAGTGACAGAGCTAATGAGAGGCGGGAACAGGTGCAAACATGTATCAGTCGGAGCCCAACCACTCCACTCAGTTAGAAATCACTCAAAGGGGAGAAAAGGCTGGGCACAGTGGCTCACGCCTGTAATCCCAACATTTTGGGAGGCTGAGGCGAGAGGACTGCTTGAACCCAGGAGTTTGAGACCAGTCTGGGCAACATAGGAGTACCTCAAAAACAAGAAAAAGAAAAAAGAGAAGGGATAAAAGAGGCCTTAGGAAAACCTCTGAAAGCAGCCAGTCGAATTCCTGAATTTTATAGTGAAGGGCCCAAAAATGACTCATACCTTGTTCCCAGAAGGAGTTACATGGGTAGACATAAGATAAAATAAAATGAAGATGAATGAACAGGAGCACAGAACAAAGGAAAACTGAGAGGAGGACAGGAGAACACAGCCATGGCCAACCACGTGCCTTAAACTCCTGCACATTAGGTAGACCTTGAATCTGCCTCTGAGTCCTCTATGAACAATAAAGAGAAGGAAATACCAGTTACAGAATTCAGTGTCTGTAAGATAAAAACACACCATTTTCTGAGAATTAAAAACAAAACAATAAAACCTATTTCTGATGTTGAGACCAGGGAGAAAACATCCCCATGCCCCTACAGAAAAAGCAACAACCGACATCCTAAGCAGTAACAACAGGCATCGCTCAGGGAGCACCGACCACTTTCAAGCATGGTGCTAAGGCCTCTTTCTAGGCATCGTCGCATTTATTCCTCCAAGCGTGTGAGGACAGGCTGCAACACCCTGGAGAGGTTCCTCCCTGGGTACTGAGCAACAGACAGAGGCTGTTTTCCCCGAGAGGTACCCAGGTTGAGGCAGGAGAGGTGAGGCCGAGGTTAGAGCTCTGCACTCTGCTTGCTCCTGGGAAAAACCTACCTACTCAGAAACTTTCCTCCAAACAGTGCCAATGTCCATACTAATTTTTAAAGTATTTACTCTGAACAACAAGCATCAGGTCACCAAAGGGAAACTATCTAAATACAGACTAAAAAATTCTCAAAACATGTACTCTGAGTATGATTCTAAAACCAGAATTCCAGAAATGGTTAACACTTTGAAGTCAAACACTCCATAAGTTACATAACGAATAACCAACTCCAATATACATGACATTCTTTTTTCCTCCCAGGTTGGGTATTTGAATGCAAACCAAAAAGAAAACCCCAAAGTGATGTCCAGACTGGAGCCATAGCTTACAACCAACACATGTGGAACTTACAATTTTTCAGCTTCCAGACATAACAACTTAAGAGCTGTGAGTAATCTCCAAGATGGCCCATCCCATCCAAATGTCAAATTTCTGAAGTAGAAAAACAAATAACAGCAAATCCGTCATTTCAGTATTTCATGACACCAGGGCAAATGGCTACAGAAGCGAATAGTTTTTTTACAGGGGCTGCTAACCTGCAATCTTAGTAAGAAGACAATAGAAAAAGAAGTCTGTAAATACTTCAGAATAAAGCCTGAGTAACAGAAAATTCTCTTCATATTTTTTTAAAAAGCTATTTTCCAATCAATGTTAGTAAGAATTTGGATGAGGGGCCACAGCAAGAAGGCATAGGTCTAAGCTCTCACTGAGATGAGATGAAGAATCTGAGTCAGCCCAAGGAGCCACAGCCACAATGCTCTCACACTGCAGCAGCATTATGCAAAACTTAAGTTTACCCAGAAAAGAAAATATGAAAGCAAGAGCCTCGAACCCTGTCTATTCAATTTGGCAGGGCATCACTCAGCCCCCCACCTAACCCAAGGGTCTATACCACACCGGCAAGTACCTGGGCTCTCCTGTGGGCCAGCATGGCCTTCCCACTTGACCATGGATAGAGACCAACTGATCCTGAGCCACCTAGCTATACATGCAGGCTCTTTTCTGGTACAGTAATTTCCAAAATAATTGATATTTCAAGCTTGTATCTTATGCTCCCAAAAAAGTTTCTTTGAAGTGTCATACATTCCTCATGGACCCCCACAACATCGAGCACAATTTTACTCCACATAGTAAGTGCTCAATAAATGCCTTCCTGTCAGACACAGGTGTTATTAGGAGGTGTCTTGCCCCTGTAACATTAATCCTCAAGTTTTCCATAAAAAAGAATACTGAGAAGGAAAGAGAAACACTTACTCTATAAAGCCATGATCCTTTAAAATAGAAATCTTTTTGTTCATCTGCTTATCTGTTGATGGAAGATATTTAACAAGTATGTCTACATAAAAAAAAAAATCAGACTGAAATTTAGGCCATAAGTACATTTAGGGCATAATTCAAACATAAGTATGTCTTTCTTACCCTTCTCAACTCACTTTCCTTCTTGTTAGCAATCAAGACATGTATAAATGCTTTTACTAATTCACACAAGTCTATTCTTCAAGTCCGATTCAATGTGATCATTATTTAGTCCCTGGAAAGCTGTAAGAATTCTAAGGCAGCCGGGTTCGGTGGCTCAGCCTGTAATCCCGCACTTTGGGAGTCTGAGATGAGTGGATTGCCTGAGCCCGCGGGTTCGAGACCCGTATGGGCAACTTGGTGAGACCACATCTCCACAATAAATCAAAAAATTAGCTGGGCATAGTAGCGCATGCCTGTAGTTCCAGCTACTTGGAAGGCTGAGGCGGAAGGATCACCGGAGCCCAGCAGGTCGAGGCTGCGGTGGCCGGGAGCGGCCACTGCACTCCAGTCTGGGTGACAAAGTGAGACTCCAACTCAAAAAAAAAAAAAAAAAAAAATTCTAAGGCTAGAGGACACAACATCTACAACCTCAGCCCATGCTCCCACTAAGTAAATCAGTCAACAAAATCAGATAACTGTGACATCATCATCGCAATTCACAGAAGTACAGGTTGTCCAAAAACATGAGGAAAGCTTTGCAATAGTGAGTTTTTTAAAAGCCAAAATTCAAAACAGTCTGGACGTTAGTGACTGCCACCATAAAAAACTTAGTGAATATGCAAAACTTGACAAAGCTATTTGGGGAACCTGGGTAATTAGGGATTTTTGTATTTTATTTTTTAAATGTAACAATAACTAGAATATCATTGGTGTTCATGTTAACTTATTCAAAAATATTAATATTTTGTGGCCAGAAATATTACAGTTACCAAGGTTCTGAAAACATAAGGCAAATATCAAGGTTAGCTGTCTAGCAGTTTTTGCTTTTCTATTTTTATTTTGCGACATCACATTAATACTCTGCCAATAGGATGGAGTTGAATCACTCTGACCAAGTTTCTATTTCTATTCAAACTTATACTAAAAATACTTCAAATTATACACTTGCTAAATCTCTGACCATTTTTTCATAGCCTAGAAAAACTACTCTGCTGTTTTGCAAAAGTGCAAAAAACCAGTCTTCTACTACATTTGGAATTTTCACACCATTAATTTAGTGGCTAAATTATTATTTTAAAATAATAATACCATGATGATGATTGGTTAGTAGATGACAAAAGAACATAAATAAAATCAAATTTCATCATGGCATTAAATTCTAAAAACAAGGACTACACAGATTTTATTATCTCTATAATTAGCACAGTGTTGTGCTTAATAAATATTTTTTATTCATTGTTCTCTAACCCTATTTGATCCTGACAATGTCTCAGTATAAAAATTTCCATTTCTGGCTAGGCACAGTGGCTCCCACTCAGTACTTTGGAAGGCTGGTTTGAGTCCAGGAGTTCAAGACCAACCTAGGCAAAATAGCAAGACCTCAACTCTACCAAATATTAAAAAAAAAAAAGAACTAAGCAAGCATGGTAGTGCACACCTGTAGTCCCAGTTACCTGGGAGGCTGAGGTGGAAGGACTGCCTGAGCCCTGGAGGTCAAGGTTGTGGTGAGCTGTAATCATGCCACTGTACTCCAGCCTGGGCTACAGAGTGAGATCCCCTCTCTTAAAAAAATGAAGAAGAAGAAGAAAGTTGACTCCAACCTCTTGGGACATAAACACAAGCATGAGGATTCCGGATGGAGACAAATCCATACTCCAGGAGCAGCTTTTGGTTGTCATGGGGACCGTAGCAGATGAACACCTCTTCATGTTTTCTCCAACTTGAAGTTGTTCTAATTTCATAACAGCGAGTTTCCTCATTAAATGCTGCCTTTACCTAGAATGGAAAATTATTAGCGGCTTTTTAAAGTGATGTGTAAAACAACAAAGCTGATTAAATTATTGCATTAAGTCAGGTGCAGCTTTTAAACACTCATCAATGAAGTCAAGGACATGGGGGGAAAATACCACTTCTGCACTCAGTCAGTTCTGTCACCTTGACTTCACCCCATGGGTGAGGGAAGACATCCTGTCCTAGGGCTCTGGAGATGGCTGCACACGCAAAACCAAACATTGAACAGAGATCAACAGCAACTGATTAGTCATATACTCAGCCCGTGGGAGGAGGACATGGTGGTGCCAACAAGCTTTATCTGTAAAAAGCCAGAGAATAAATATCTTGGGCTTTGCCAGCCCCATGTGGTCTCTGCTGTCGGCTGTTGTGTTTTTACAATCCATTAAAACTATAAAAACCATTCTTAGCTCAGGCTCTCAGGCCACATGCCCACAGTTTGTGGTCTTCCTACAATAACTATAAAATCGCTGGTTTGGCACATAAATACACCAAAAGCCACCCAAAAAAATAAAGTCACGCCAGTGGGGACTGACAGAGTCCCTATGCCTGACATCCTACTGCACTATACATCTGACATTACTTTAGCAACAACCAAAGAAACACGCATCTAACCTCAGACTCCTTTGCTCCAGATGGTTAAAAATATATCTTTCTAGAAAAGTCACAGACAGGCCAAGGGATTGTCCAGGCCTGAGAAAGCTCAGCAGGACCTCCCTAAGCTCTCCCCTCACAGGCCCGTGGACCAACAAGGCATCAGCACTCTTCTCACAATAGCATGTCATGTAAAGGGGACACCATGACACCGAACCCAGTCCTGTGCCTTCATAGTGCACCCCAAGTGGGTTCCAGTGAGCTGACAGATGGACTCTTCTCTGCCCAGGAGGCCAGGCCTTCCCTGGCAAGCCCTGCAAACACACTCACCTCCTAGATGGCAACAGGGGGAAATACTGGGGAGGAGGAGTCTGTGACCAGACCCCAAATCAGGATTTATTTCCTTTCCACACAAACAGCTATCCATTCAGTAAACATTTACCGAGCACCTACTATGTGCCAGACCCTGCCGATGAGTGCTGGGGTAACAAAGAAGAACAAGATAAAGTCCCCATCCTCAAAGACTTCAGAGCTCAGTGGAAGAATGAGCAAGTCAATCAGTGATCAGAGCAAAGATAAATGCTCTGACAGCTACACCATCAAGTGTAAAAGGGAGGGGACAGGAAAGCAAGCGAGACTTCAGTCCATTCTGGATGGAGAAAGGAAGAGGGAGGAAGGTAGAAGAAGGAAGGGGGAAGGAAGAAAAAGGCCTCAGAAGGACTCTGCACCACAGGCTACCAGTAAAGGTAGTACAGGGGATATAACACGAGGCTCTGCAGACCTAGAGGGCAGAGTAGAGAAATGAACAAACAAACCAGACTGCAGGAGGGACAATGGGGTCGGAAAGACAGGCTAGACTAACAGGTCTAACTGAAGCCAGCCAAACCTCTCCCTGTGGTTTCACTCACTATCCAAAGCCACAGGAAGTCACAGTTCTACATGTTGGAATCCTTCCTGTCAAAACAGAACATGTATCCCTTTGTCACCTTCTCACCTGGGCATCTGGGCTATGATTCAGCAGATCCAGATATGGAGCGAGCGCACAGGTATCCAGCTCTACAGAAAGGCATTCCTGCTGCCTCTGCCTCAGGTACACAGCTCTGGTGTTAACGGTACACCAGGCCCACAGGAGGGCACTGTAGCTAAAGATGCTGTCAACAGCCTCCACAAACAGAGGCTGCAGGGAAGAGAAAAAGTCTCTGGAGGAAGCAAAGAACTCCTGCACGTGGGCTCTCTGCTCTTCAGCCTTTCCTTTTAAAGGTTCAGGAAGAAGGTTTACCACTTCCGGTTCCAAACAAACAGGGCAGGTGTAGACCTTGGGTAAAATCTCCAGGTAAGGCTTCCAGGGCGACTGGTCTCCAGCATGCTTTTCCGAAACTAAAAAGGTACACAGGACCAGCAGAGGAGATGGAGGAGGCTTCCACCTTTTAAAATTAAAAGGTGGTTTAAAGGAATTACATTTATTTAAAATATTAAACAAGCTGGGTGGTTTGTTTTGCTACCAGTTGGGAGTGTGCTCAAGCTGCCAGCAACTCTAAGTTTACTTAACAAACCCAAGAAGGTTTCCTCCTTCCTTAAGGCTTTCTCCCTCCAGAGTATACTTCCAACACAAATGCTCTGAGCGAGCCAGATTTATATGTCAGAAAAACTGACTCAAGATAACTCAAGTTCTAGGTTTGCTTGCAAGAGACTGCTTTTTGCAAAAAACTCTTGCTTCCAGTTTGGTTCTTCCACTTTAAAGCTTTTGCAGTAAGTTCCTTTGTTTAACTTAAATAAGGACATAAAATATGGTGCGGAAAAATGTGTAGGAAGATCCTGCACCATCCAATACAGTAAACACTGGGTACATGGAGACATTTACATTTTAATTTTAATTATTAAGAATTAAATAATATTTAAAACTCAATTCCTCAGTCAGACAAGCCACATTTCAAGTACTCAATAGCCATTAGGGGCTAGTGGCTACTATATTAGACAACACAGAGTAAAACACCTCTGTTGCTGGTAAAAGTTCTACTGGACAACACTCAGACAAAAAACTGATTATATACTCATTACATACTAGTAGCTCATAATATACCATATGCTCATTATATACTAGTAGCAGGTTTTTATTCCTAAAGTTACCTACTCTATTACAAATTTCACATCATAGTATTTTTATTTATTTTGCATAATTACCAATAAAAAAATCTCATGTTGCATGTGTGTATACAGAAAAAGTTTTCATTAATCCTTCAAAGTCCAGATTCTTACAGTGCCATACATTTTACTCACAATTTCAGAATGATCCAAAAAGATGTTAATATTAAAGCATCCTTGCCTCTATTCAGGCCTACAAAGATGCATTAGCCCTTTTCCAAAAACATGCCAGGTAAGAAAATAAAGTCCTAAACTTACCTTGGGTTAAGAAACAGTATAATCTTTCAACCCTCATAATTTAGAAATCCCTTCTGCCAAGGACCTGACTCTGTCCTCAGAGGTCCTCCAAGAACCAAAGCCCACCATAACATGAGCCAGAAAACAGTTCTCAACTACCACATTAGCCTTTTCTCTTCTATGCCAATAAAGCTAAGTCTTCCATGATGTCAACAGGCCTTCATAGTTGAAGAATACAAGCAAGTATAGTAAGGGTATAACAAAAGGGAGGAATTAACATTTGTCAAGACCCACTATGATAAAGAACAGGCCATTGAGTCAAGGCTCTCAGCTGTGATTTACATATAGCATCTCATTTAATATTCATTTTCTAGTAAGTGATAGAGCAGGATTCCCACCCAGGGAGCCTATCAAAAATCTTAAAAATGAGCCGGGCTTGGTGGCTCAGCTTGTAATCCTGTGCCTTTGGGAGGCTGAGGTGAGTGGATTGCCTGAGCCCGCGGGTCAAGACCCACCTGGGCAGCAAGACCTCATCTCAACAATAAATCAAAAATCAGCTGGGCGTGGTAGCGCATGCCTGTAATTTCGGCTACTTGGAAGGCTGAGGCGGAAGGATTGCCAGAGCCCAGCAGGTCAAGGCTGCGGTGGCCGGGAGCGGCCGCTGCACTCCAGTCTAGGCGACAGAGTGAGACTCCAACTCAAAAAAATAAATAAATAAATAAATAAAAATAAAAATCTTAAAAATGCACACTGAATTTAGAGTAAATATCCTACAACGAAGTTAATCTTTCAAATTGTTTCAGATATGTATTATCTATAAAAGGGGCTGGATCCTCATGAGCTGGGCCTTACATGGCACATTTGCCAATGGCAGACACCTTCAAGGAGAAGCACTTGCACCAGGTAAGCATGTGAGTGGTCACTTACTTAGTAATGTATGCCCCTAAGTAGCTTCCAATCACAGCATCCGTGGTAAGTAGGCAACTCTCAGGTAACGAAATAATCATCTGTCCCTCCTTGCCAAAAAGAAAGTAAAGTTTAGAACACTCATGCTTTGGGAAGGACTTGTGAGTACGAGTCTTATAAAGACCTTGATCCTACAATCACGTACCAAGAACCAACTATAACACAAACACAAGCTCACCAATGGACCCGTTCCCAACTCCAAGTCAGAAGATGCAGACAAGGCTGTTCCAACGCCGGGTGCCACAGCCCCAACAAGAATTCAGCGGGGCACAGTGGCTCACACCTGCAATCTCAACACTTTAGGAGGCGCTAAGTTAGAAGGATCACCTGAGGCCAGGAGTTAGAGACTAGCCTGGGAAACATAGTGTGAAACTTGTCTCTACAAAAAATAAAAACATTAGCTGGGCGTGGTGGCATGTGCCTACAGTCCCAGTTACCTGGGAAGCTAAGGCAGAAGGAATGCCTAAGCCCAGGAGGTCGAGGCTGCAGTTAACCATGATTGTGCCACTGCACTCCAGTCTGGTCAACAGAGTAAGACCCTGACTCAAAAACAAACAAACAAAAAAAAGAATTAAAGGCTAGTTATGTGACCGACATCCACTACTAGTCAACCTTTCATCAGAAAGGAATAGAAAAACAATATGACAACTCAAATCATATTGTTCCTTCACTTCCTTATGCCAGAAAAATAGTGCTACCAATGGGATACAGGCAGAAACCACTCCAAAAAATTCCATCCAGGGAAATCCAAGTAGCCAGGCAATGGTCTGCTCTCTACATAACCTGTGACAACTAGCGAAAGAAAGGGCAGCCTACTCAGCACACAAGGATCTAGTTCTACCACTAGCAAAAGTACAGTTGTCAGTTTCTCCCACTGACATTGAACCACAGGAAGAAAAATTAAGACACCAGAAATAAACAAAGCCCTAAAAAACCAGATGTAAGATCCAGTTTTAATTTTAACTGGTATCCAAGCTGGTTAAAAAATCTCAGTCAAAAAATCTTTTGGGATCAGTTTCCAGTTTCCATCTGTAAAGCAAGATTAAGCTGGATGATCAGTACAGTTCCTTTTCATCTCAACATTCCATGACTTCCTGATTTAAAAAAAAAAAAAAAGACCAACCCCCTCAGGGACCCTCCCACCCTCCCACTGTGGGAGCTTTTCTGTCCTCTCAATAAATCCTGCTTTTATACACACACACACACACGGGCATGTCTCTTTATCAAACAGTAAAGGTCTATGCATTTCATTATATGTAAAATATGTCTCCATTTTCAAACAGTGTAATTAAAAAGTCACATCTGAATGTACATGTGAAGCAACTGCCAATTACCATTTCATGATCGAAACAAAAACTACTTATAGTTTTTGCTGCATACATAAGAGGTATATGTCTTCTCCCCAAATTCTGCTACAGAATAACTCAATTACACATCTCAAAAAATAATATTGCACAACAATGTGAATGTACTTAGCACTTTGAACTTCAAAATAAGATTAAGATTGTAAATTTTATGTTACATATATTTTACCACAATTGAAACTTTAAAAATAAAACAGCAGTGAGAGTCATCTCTACAATAAATCAAAAATAAAATAAAAATTAAAAAACAGCAAATAGCATGACAACATTAAAAGGTACCATTCTTTACACTAAACATATGTACATAGCTGAGTTTAAAATAAGTTAAATTAAATAATTAAAAATAAGTTAAGATGGCTAGACATGGTGGCTCATGACTATGATTCCAGCACTTTGGAAGGCTGAGGTGGGAGGATTGCTTTTGAGTCCAGGAGTTCGAGACCAGGCTGGGCAACATAGCGAGGCCTCATTTCTACAAAAAAATCAAAAAATAAATTGGGCCTGGTGGTAGGCGCCCACAGTCTCAGCTACTGGGCAGGTCGAGGTGGAAGGATCACCTGAGCCCAGGAGGCTGAGGCTACAGTGAGCCATGATTATGCCACTGCACTGCAGCCTGGGTAACAGAGTAAGACCCCAACACACACAAAAAAATTAAAGTAATTATTAAGATAACTTTTAAATAAAGGAAGAAATTAATTTCTAGCTTTACTGAAAATTATGCACTGAATATCCTTTAAAATAGAAAGAATTCAAAGAAACCATGGAGATCATCTATGTCATTTATCTCATTTTACAGAGGCCAAGAGGATGCAGAGTCTTGCTCCGGGTCCCTGGGATAGGCTCCAAGGTCACCTCCTACCACCTGCTCGGGTTCTGCTTGCCACACTATGACAGCCTCTCAGATGGGAGTATCACCCCTGTGCTCTTACCATACTTAAAATATGATATGATTTATTCAATTTCCTGTGGTAAAGACTGCTAGCTGCTTACCCCAGCATGCCTTCACCCCTCCTCACAAACTGAATCCCACTCGGAGGACTCAGCCAGACAAAGGTCACAGGCACCCTTCCCTTGCAGCCGGCTGGAGCCATGTACCCAGCCGCAGGCCAAGGAGATGGAGCTGGAATTTTCTTGAAGACTTCCTCTACCCTTCCTCATCCCCTTGCTTCCTTCCGCTGCTCATATTCCAGCACACTCTAGACCTGAGTGTATGGGCTCCCTTGAGGACGTGCAGTGTTATAAGCCACGTGACTGCCCCCCTCCGCCAGCCGGGGTCTGCCTACTCCAGGCTTATTTACATGAGAGCAAAATAAACTCCTGCACTGTGTAAACACCTCAACCTGGACTTGTCTTTTTTATGCAGCAAACTTAATCAAGCATTTCCATTAGGTTAGTAAGAAACGACTGTATGTCCAGAATATTTTCAATTCACTTTATTTGAACCACAAAAACAAAGTAGCAAAATCTACATTGGGTTCCGAGGATAAAAGAAAAGTTCTCACCTGCAGGGATATTTTGCTCATCAGCCCTCTTCCTGTACCTAGAAAAGCAAAGACAGAAAAAGAGTAGATCCTACTATATCTTCAAGGTATATATGTATATCAACATCTTCTTAGAAATACCATTTTGAATAAAAAAGGTTAATGAAGTCCAAGATTACACAAAGCTGAAGCTAAGTGTCTCTCAGCTTTTGCTTCCCAGGGGAAACAGGATCAGGAAGCTATTCCAGAAAATGTCCTATCTCCTATGGGTTTACATCCTTAAGGGCAAAGTCAGCTTCAGAAGTGAGACCCAAAGACCACCATGGACTATATAAGGATCCGTGGCTGGGCCTCGTTCAGGAAGCTTCAAGTTGGACTCTCTTCCCCGGAGCCTACCAGCTGAGACTGGGGGGCCTACTCTGAATGACCACCCGACCTTCGAGCCTGGATCCTCAGGTCACTTATACCCGCTATCAGACTCAGCTTTCCCCAGTAACAACCTTAAGACCTCTTTGTTTGACAGGCCAGTAAACCTCACTCAGGTTCCGCAAAGCCTGCAGACTCCATCCTCCCCTCCCTAACCAGGTAAGCCATGAGATGGGCTGTCCATGACCTGGGTGAGCCTACTGGGTAGATCCAGGGCCAGCTGCTCCCTGAGAGTCAAAGATCTGGCTAGAACACAGTCAGAATGGTAGCTTTACCAGCTACACTATTAACACCCCACCACCTTTCAAAAATTTCTCCCTCAATGCTCAAGTCTCTGCTCCCGGAATACAGTCAGGTGGACACTAAAAGGATGCTCAGGTGACAGCTTTTCTGACAAGAATAGGTATTATATGACCATAAGAGGTCTGAAGTGTTCACCTCTCCAGATTCATAATTCTTGGCCTTTTTTCTCTTAACTGAGAGGAAACAGAATTCAACAGTCAATCCCTGCAGGATTACTGGGAAGCTCCTGGTTCACGGTGGGAATACCTGCCTCAAGTCTTCAGTTTTCCGGCAAACTAGAATTGATGAATCCTAACTCATACCACCCAGGAGGACACTGTCTGCTTGGACACGTGGTTCTGGTTTTTAAAGCTTATTTATTTTATATATCCCATTGTGGAGTTAATGATCCTTGTATGCCAGAACCTCTTCTAGAAGTAATTACTAGGAGGACTTCTATTATGTGGCCACCTTCAAAAGACCAGTATGCTCATCTAAGTGGAAATGTACCTCTAAACTTATATATAAACAGAACCTGGAATATGGAATATATCTGGAAGACACTGTACCTATATTTCTACAATATACAGTGTTCAAAATCAAAAACCACACCATAGTAATCGACACTTACTGTCATTTTTATACTGGATATACTAGGCAAGGTAGGAATGGCCATGAGGAACTCACAGAAGTAAAGCTTATTACAAACGTCTCAAAGCCCTCAGATTTCTGCTGCCATAAATCCACCCAGGAGGCCCTGGACTGGGTAGTGCTTTTCTGGTGAAAGAAGGTGCTAGTCAGTTCCCAAGGCACAAATTAGGTGACAGCCGACAGACAGAATCCTGCTTGCAACCCCACAACTAGGATAAATTCCCCAGAATTTTGCATGTGTTGATTGAATCCCAAATATCTTACCTCCTATCATATACAGATCAAGAGCTAAAAATATATAAGGCACACACAGAAGGGTCCTTGTCCCCAGAACTGTAAACAGCAGGCCCAAATCACTGCCAACACACTGTGCTTCTGCAACTCTAAGGCCCTGAATCTGGAACTGGGGCCTGAGCAGTTTGTTTCCACTTGTAAAAATGGTAACTCTTTACTGCTCCAGGTTATAGGCAAATTACTTATTCTCAGGCATTCAGTCTAAGCATTTGCCAGTTCCTGCCTGATGACTTTAAACCTATCCTTCTTAGGGAAATGCCACCTGAGAAGTAGGCAGGTATCTTTTCTCTTGATCATCTGGTGAAGAACCCCATATGCAAAATCTAAGAGTGTGACTTTTACACACAAAAATAGAAAGCTAAACATTCTGTTAGAGGCTGACAACTATGGTTCATGACCATAAATCAGGAGAGACCCTAACAAAAAATGGCTCAAATCAAGCATTTTAAGCCCAAAGTCATCACATATGACTGCCATACGAGGAACAACTTTATACACATCACCTCCCTCGGCCAGAGGCACACATGGGAAATCATCTATCTTGGGATATATATGAGAAAGTCAATTTGCTCTAAGTTAAATTATCTGATGGATACCTGAGTAACAACTTTAATGGCCGGAGGTGGAGGGAGTCATTAGTAGACAACTTGGTTTTATTAATAGAACACTAAGATTCAGAGCACTGACCAAATCCATTGTATGGACTGCTAGAAAGATAAATTATACTAGTAGCTCACCTCTGACAAGTATATAAGATTTTACAATCGTGTATTTTATGTATTATCCTTATTCTTGGTTTCATCTTATTTTTCTATTCTTATCCTCCTTTTTTTATTTCATCATTTTGTCATTTCTCCTCACAAGCCACTTTATTTTTACAACAGGTGAAGTACAAGTAAACAGCATAGCTACAAGGCAGTGATGAAGAGACTCACCATCACAAACCCCCTATTGCTCTAAGATGACAGCAAAGAGGTACTCTATATGTAGCCTATAATTTTAGAATAGCTATTAGGAAATTAACACCACTCCCCAGAAACCTTAGAAAATAAAAAGCACTTACTTACAACTTCTTGCTAGACCATGGATTGTTTACAGTTAAGTTTAGAATGCAGTGGCACACTCGACCACTACAGCCTCAACTCGCTGAGCTCAGGTGATCCTTCCACCTCAGCCTTCCAAGTAGCTGGAACCATATGCACGCACCACCACACCCAGCTAATTTTTTGATTGATTATAGAGATGAGGTCTCGCCAAGGTGCCCCGGCTGGTCTCAAACCCCTGGGCTCAGGCATTCCTCTTGCCTCTGCCTCCCTAAGTGCTAGGATTAAAGGCATGCACCACTGTGCCCAGCTAAGTTTAGAAATGTTCCTGTGTAATTAAGGCTAAATGTAAAACTGCTTGAATGCACATTTTGCTTCTTCCCTCTTCATGTAGTAACTGCTGCTGGTACTGAAAGGAACACAGTCATTTACACTGAGCCCTTTATAAGCAGAAAGTACCAAGAAAAAGTATACATCCCAGAAAAAGCCTCTAACGGACACAGATAAGAAATGGGTTCTGCTGAAACTCCCTAAAACCCAAAAAATGAATCTGTTCCCCTTAGTCTTTAGGTGACAATTGATTTCCTTTATGCCTTTGAATCAAATTTGTGTATAATGTTAATTATTAAGTCTTATGAACCAAAAATTCCCAATGTGAGCGAAGAACTGTAACTAACTAGAAAGCACGCTGTCCCAAATTGCCCAAAAGTCATTTTAATTTCAAAGAATAACAGCTGAATTATACTTCACATCTTTAAAATAAAAATTTTTTTAAAGAAAGAATGACAGCATTGGTGCAGTGTGAACACTGGCTTACGGCAGCAGCCATTTGAGGTCTCAACTCTGATTAGAAAAGATACTAATAACTATTAATCAACAGTTAAAATTGATAAGACCATCCCAGTTTTGCTATAAATACTGGAATGAATGTGTGTTGCTTTGAGTGGGTTCTGGTAAAAATATCAAGTCTGTCTCGCTGAATCCTGAATTCAGATTAAAATTTTCTTCCCAGTTTCCTGCTTCTCGTGTTTCACTGGCAAATAAGAGAAAGTAGCCGAGTGTTGATGACTCTCCTTCAGCAGGAGGTCCAACACACAGCTCAATAGATACGTTCCCAGAGGGAACAAAGCCCACCTGCAAGAATCGTCCCTGCAATCTACGTGACTGTCCTATGACAAAGGTCAGGAGAGCCGAATGCCAATTCTCACCTGGAAAAAGAGCAGGTGCCAGGTTTGTATCTTTAAACTTCCTATCTTTCAGCCACTTTTTTAGTTCGATAAATTCAGACTTGTAGCTTTCATTCACTAATCAGGTGAGAAGAGAACAAACAGTGATTAAAATTACCATATAATCAGATCACCATTTTAATTTTATTTTTTTAAGTCGGAGTCTCACTCTGGCACCCAGGCTAGACTGCAGTGCCACAATCTCAGCCACCACAGCCTCGACCTGCTGGGCTTCAGCCTTCCAAGTAGCTGGGACTACAGGTACACACCACCACACCCAGCTAATTTTTTTATTTATTGTAGAAATAAGATCTCGCCCTGTTGCCCAGGTTGGTCTCAAACTCCTGAACTCAAGCAATCCTCTCACCTTGGCCTCTCAATGTGCTGAGATTACAGGCGTGAGACATCACACCCAGCCCAGGACTACCATTTTAAAAGAACATCTCTGATGAAGTATATCAGACAGATGTACACAATGGTAAGTATCGGTATGTCTAAACATAGAAAAGGTACAGTAAGAAAACAGTATTATAATCTTATGGGATCACTGCTGTACATACGGTCCACCAACCTAAACATCATTATGCAGAGCATAACTATATTGATTCAATGCAATTCTAAATAAAATCCAAGCAGGCTTTTTTTAGGATTTAACAAGCTAATCTTAAAATTCATACAGAAATGCAAAATACCTAGAATAGTCAAAATGTCTTGGAAATACTTATTTTAAAACTTATTTATAAAGATACAATAATCAGGTCAGGTGTGCTGGCTCATACCTGTAATCCCAGCACTTTGGGATGCTGAGGCAGGAGGACTGCTTGAGTCCAATAGTTTGAGACTAGCCTGAGCAAAATAGCAAGGCTTCATCTCTTAAAAAAAAAAACAAAAAAAACTACAGTAATAAAATTTACAAATTAGTATGATATTGTCATCAAGACAGACAAATAGGTCAATGGAACAGGATTAAAAAAATCCAGAGATAGACCCACATATATATGAACAACTGATTTTTGGCAAAGTACAAAGGTAATCCACTGGAGAAAAGACAGTCTTTTCAATAAATAATGATCAAGCAATTGAATCTCCATAAGCAAAAATAATAATGATGATGAACTTATCCATATCTTGTACCATATACAATTACATTTAAGTAGAACTTTCCAGATAGGCTAGCACTTTCCCGTACATTATTGCATTCAGACTGGGTTACACTGAATTTGAATCCAAAAATTAACATTCTAAAGGTAGCTGAAGGTCCGGACCAGAAAAGAGAAACCTGGAAGGTATCCTCAGAGAAGACAGTTGAAGCAATTAGTTAAATATATTCACATTCCCACCAGGATTTCAAAGAATATACTGGCACCGTTAAAAATAGTATTACTTAAGAAATACGCTCTTTGAACACTGACTATGTGCCTTTGAGAAAAACTACGTGTATGAACAGACATCAGTCAACAAAGGATTTCTTTTTTCATCACTGGCACTAAAAGAAACAAAGTTGCCCAGGCTCGGTGGCTCAGCCTGTAATCCTGCGCCTTGGGAGGCAGAGGTGAGTGGACTGCCTGAGCCCGCGGGTTCGAGACCTGCCTGAGCAACTTGGCGAGACCTCATCTCTACAATAAATCAAAAAATTAGCTGGGCGTGGTAGCGCACTCCTGTAGTTCCAGCTACTTGGAAGGCTGAGGCGGAAGGATCGCCAGAGCCCAGCAGGTCAAGGCTGCGGTGGCCGGGAGCGGTCACTGAGCTCTAGTAGGGACGACTGAGTGAGACTCCAACTCAAAAAAAAAAAAAAGAAACAAAGTTGTACCTCCTCTTGATTCAGAGCCTCTAGAGAGTTTTCGTCTTCTGACCCGGCTTGTTCTCCCTCTTCCCTTCTGCATACTAAAACCGTAGTTGCTGTGTAGGTGCCAATCTAAAATGAAAAGCATTTCTTTGTCTTACTTTCCAGTTGTATGATAATCACTGTTCTTTGTAACTTTAAATATACAATGAGTATTTCGGTATACCATTCTCTAAAGAGTTTTTGTACATGAAAGGCTTATACTGTGAGCTTATACTGCACTAATGGAATGCCCATTACATTGACTCCTCTAAAACAGTTTTATCTTGAGGCCCTACTGAATACTGAGTAATCATGGAAATCTTCATAACTGATTTCATAAGCCTGAGCTTTGGTGACTTACACATCTCACTCCTAACCCACATTTACCAAAGCACCAATTCAAATTAATTATACTTAGAATGAACAGTAGCCATAAAGCCCCCATTAGCTAGGAAGTCTTACACTGAAAAAAAAAAAAATCAAACCAGGCAAAGTGGGGACCAAAGGGAAGTCCAAATTTACCTGTATGATGTCCACTTGTATACTTAATCCTGAATTATAGTCCACATCTTTAGAATAAAATAAAATAAAGAATGAGGTGAGCAGAGGAAAGTCAGAGCCACAAAATCTAAGCAGAAGACACCAAAACATAAAGAGCACCCATGTCTGTGAAAAGCAGCTGAATGTTTACAGGCTTTTAAAGTAGTTAACAGAAAACTACAAATAGTGACTAGCTTTGTGTAATATCTGTTTTTATAAACAATTTTTTAAAATTCTAAAAATAGCCTGTAATCCTAGCACTTTGGGAGGCCGAGGTGAGAGAACTGCCTGAGCCCAGGGGTTCAAACCCAGTCTCGGCAACTTGGTGAGACCACATCTCTACAACAAATCACAAAAACTAGCTGGGCGTGGTATGCGTCTGTAGTTCCAGCAACTTGGAAGGATCACCTAAGTCTAGCAGGTCAAGGCTGCAGTGACCGTGAGTGTGCCACTGCACTCCAGCCTGAGCGACAGAGTGAGACTCCAACTCAAAACAAAAAAAATTCTAAAAATAAAGGAATTGAGTCAATATAAAATAAAAAATGGCCAGGCTCGGTGGCTCAGTCTATAATCCCAGCACTTTGGAAGGCCAAGGAGAGTGGATTGCCTGAGTCTGCGGGTTCGAAACCAGCCAGGGCAACTTGGCAAGACCTCATCTCTACAATAAATAAAAAATTAGCTGGGCATGGTAGCACATACCTGTAGTTCCTGCTACTTGGAAGGCTGAGGCAGACGGATCACAAGAGCCCAGCAGGTCAACGCTGGGGTGGGCTGTGAGTATGCCACTGCACTCCAGAATAGATGACAGAGACTCCAACTGAAAACAAAATCACCTTTCAGTGTGAAGTAAACAGTGGTTTGTTCTTAGATACCAGGATCCTAAAATACAGTGCTCTGTAATTAAATGGGTGTTGGCAAATGATTAGGGACAGGTTTATCTGCCAGAAAAGGAGACAAAAATAAAAGATGTGCATAAGATCTAAATGGCCACTAAAGTTCCTATGCTACTTCCTTGGAAGCATAAAAAATAAAATCCAAGCTGGGTTCGGTGGCTCAGCCTGTAGCCTTTGGGAGGCTAAGGTGAGTAGATTGCCTGAGCCTGCGGGTTCAAGACCCGCCTGGGCAACTTGGCGAGACCTCATCTCTGCAATAAATCAAAAATTAGCCGGGCGTGGAAGCGCACATATGTAGTTCCAGCTGGAGCTGGAAGGATCGCCGGAGCCCAGCAGGTCGAGGCTGTGGTGGCCAGGAGCATGCCACTTGCACTCCAGTCTGGGCAGAGTGAGACTCCAACTCAAAAATAAATAAATAAATAAAATAAAATCCATTAAACACACCAGTATGATACAGGCAATGAGGTGAAGCTATTAATAGTAATGAATAAAGATTAATGCAGCCATTAATAGGAAGATATGTGCTAAGATATAAAACTATCCAAGACATAATGAGTTTTTTAAAAGCTGCTGAACATTGTACATTAAATAATCCTTTTTGGGTTTTCTTTTGAGTACATTACATAACGTTTACAAAACAAGAAAATATAAGGAAAGATAGTAAAAAAAAATGTGCTAGGGCAATGGAATACTACTCGGCTATAAAAAAGAAGGAACTCATGTCATTTTGTAGCAACACAGACGGAACCTGAGGTCATTACCTTAAGTGCAATAAGCCAGGCACAGAAAGATACATATCCACATGTTCTCACTCACCTGTGGGATGTTATGGACGTAGAGAACACGATGATGGTTACCAGAGGCTGGAAGAGGTGGGGGGGGTGAATACCAATTGGTTATGGGTGCAGACATACAGTTAGATAGTAAGGAATACGCTCTAATGTTCTACAGCTGAGTAAGGTGACTACAGCTAATAACAAAGTACTGTATATTTCAAAAGAGCTATGAAAGAGAACTTGAAATGTTCCCAACACACAGAAATGACAATTGCTGGAGGTAATGGACGCCCCAAAGACCCTGACTTGATCATGACACGGCTATGCATGTAACAGACTATCACGTGAGTTATACTTGTGTTAACTGTAAAAAGTGCTAGGAGAGTGGGCATTTATTATTACTTTTGGATCTTCCTATACTGACTTATATACGCACGAGCACATAAGTGTCGTATTATGAATATCATATGCATAAATGTTCATTTTAACGAGTTTTAAATCTACTCCTTAAAAAAACACCAGGGCAGAAATGAAAGAGACAAGAACTCCAGGCAGTGTGACAACCCCATTTCAGTTGCGGAAGATCCCCGTCCAGGTCCCGAGCTCAGCGCACCTTGTCTGGTCCCGGGACCCAGCGCCCTGCCATTACCACGTGGAGACCGGTGACGGTCACGGCCACAACACCGCCCTCGCGCCCACAGTCCTCAAACCCTAGACACAAGGCCACCCTCCTGGCCCGACACACACCGCTCCCGCCGCCACAATCCAGCCGGGTGGGCATCAGACCCCCAGGCCCTCGGCTCCTTGGCACCCCCAGCACGCCAGGGCACTATTCGCTAAGTGAACGACTTCCAAACGCTGGAAGGCTACTGCTGTGCACAGGCCTGGCGGGCGTCAGCAATCGGAAGCCCGTTCTCCTTTTTACACTGATGAATTAAAAACGTAGGAAAGCTTCAGCACGACCCCGCCCCCGTGACCCGGGCAACTAGAGGCCCCGACCCGGAAGTCCACCCGGCTCACCACGATGCGGGAGACCGCCTCCAAGATGGCGGCGGCAGTGGGCGGGCCTAAGGCACGTGGAAACCCGAAATGGCGCCCCAGATGAGGACGAGTTAAAGAAGCGGGTCGAAGCTGCAGGAGGAAAGGATGAGGCCGAGAGGCCAGCCTCGAGTCCTTAAGCAATCCAAGGCCTTAGTCATCCCGCGGAAGGCCTGCTTTTTCCCCCTGCAGGCCGCCTCTTGCCATCGCGCGCATGCGCAGTTTTCGCGGACTCGCCACTAATGCAAAACCCACCTAGGGGCGAGGTGTCCCACCCTAGAGCCCTATATCCCCCGCTCGGAGCCAAGAATAAGAAAATCGATAAGACCTCTGGCAGGCGACCAGCGCTCTGATGAACCAGCCTTTCGGAGTCCCTGGGCGCGTCCTTGGTCCTGCCCCGCCCCTTCTACCCGGGTACCTCCCCTCGCCCTCGGGTCCAGCAGGTGCGGGCTGGCATCCGAACAGGCTGGCTTTGTCTGTTCCCGCCCTTGATTCGACCGCCCCTCCCTATTTCGCTGTTTCTGGCTTAGCCCAGAGCCCGCCTTACAGAAAAATTCTATTCACGTAAATGCTCATTCTTCCAGCAGAGGGAGCGCCAATTCTGCCCCACCCACCTCTACCTTGATTATGCGCTGTGCTTGGTGACTTGATTCCAAAGAGAAAGGGAAAAAGGGGACTGGGAAAGGGGGACTGGTACGAAAAGAAGGACTAGGGGAGACTACATTGGAGAAACCTGGCAAACACTACCTTGACTGGGTGGCCAAGGAGTAACAGCATCCGGGTTAAACCATGTTGATTGGAGTAGGTTCCTGTGGTATTCCTCCCAAAACCCATAACCCCAGTTTTTCCATGAAAAAAAAAATCAAAACACTTGACCAACTCCTAAAACATGTTTTCTGTCATGAAAAACATTGTAGTCGTCCCTGGGTGACTGGGAGGATCGGTTCCAAGACCTTCTTGAATACCAAAATCTGGATGTTCAAGTCCTTTATATAAAATGGTATCAACCTACATAACAGAGATGCTATCTAAAAGAAAATGATACTTATTTAGGAGTAGCATTGTAAGGGGAATATGCGTGCCATAGAAAACTGCGAGCACGTGCTGGGAAATTGAGACGAAAAATTTTTAAATGCAAAATGAGGTGGATTACATCAGTCGCTTTGTATCAATTATTCTTAGCTACAAGGATCAATAACAAAGGTGGCATCAGTTCAGGGTTGGACAGGCAATTGCCGGACCTACGTGCTTGCAGCTGTATTTTCTGTGTAAAGTTATGGTGGTCTTTGTGCGAGTTTGTGGTTTTTGCAGTCTTTTGTGATAGACTTAGTTATAGACTCTTGTATTAGGCATAGTACATGAGAACCCTCCCTCCATGGCCTTCTCCAGCTCCATTTGTCTGGGTTTTCACACAAATGACTCTATTTGTATTCTGACAACTTTCACAACGGGGTAGTATTACTATAACCTACACACATGCTGCCATATACTTTAAATAATCTCTAGGTTACTTATAATGCCTAACATAATGAAAGTGGTAAATAGTTATTCTGTATTTTTTATTTGCTGTTTTATCTTTGCCTGCAAGAGTAAGCATTTATTTGTATTTTTTATTGATCCATTGTTTGAGCTTTTTTTTTTTTCAAAAATGAAAAGTCCTCAGCAGAACCTGAGGGCACAGAGGGCCAACTATCAACCCTGATAAGTTGTCATAAGCCAAAAACATGACAACTAAATGTAATGTCGTATATTGGAGGGGATTCTGGAATAGAAAAGGATATTAGGAGAAAAACCAGTAAAATCCAAATAAAGCATGGAGCTTAGTTAATACTA